TTAGCAAGGCATAGGATTTCACAGGTTTAGGAAGTTGCATCAGTATCATTAAATAATAGTTGACTAAATCCAAATAGGCTTATTTAGCAATTGTTGACTTGTAGTGCCTACGGATTGTCTAAACGTCTGCTAAATGAGTAATACATTGAGCAGCGTTGTGGACATTCGCTGTTTATCCTCTTTTGAATATTAGTATCTACTCTTCGTTTATTTGTCGTCTATCCAGTCAACTTATTGTTTAATTACTTACCAAACAATCAACCGATATCACTATAGGAGCAGGGACTACTGCACAACGGTTCAAGTTGCCACACCTCACAACAGCACGTCACATAACAAAGCGGTAAGCTGAGAGATGAAGAAAGAGAGAGAAATCTGTCTAAAGTAGTAAAAGAGGAAAAGGAGGAACGAGGAAGTGCTGGATTTAGTATAGCAGTGAAGATGAAGAGAAAGCGTAGATACATATGCGACACTGACATCTATTCTAAGCCAAATCACCCAGAGTCCCCAATCATTGATTTATCTTGTCCTGCGGACCTTAACGGGCTATTCAAAATCTAACATATGGCTCAGACCAGCACTCAAAGACTTGATGCACTGATGCCATCTTTTAGTCTGGCCACCTCAAACCTTTCTCCAGCTTGAACCTACTTCAGCTAACGCTGAGTGGCAAAGCATGCTTAGCACATGCCCAGTCATCTCAGTCAGTGCGGGTTCACAACCGCATCAATTGACTTCTCAGTCCTACCTGAAACTCTACATTTGACTAATTAATGCCTTACTCACCTGGTGACACCACGTACACGGCCTATGGCTATGAAGGCATCCATAGTCAAATACCTAAACATTATTCTACATCTGTTCGCTTTCTGTATCTTTATTTACCATATATTATAACTTGAGCTGATGCACTTCTGAGCACAGCCCCACACGGTTACGTCTATTAGGTTTCTAAAGCTACTTATCATACTGCTTTGAGTTTATGGATTATAAAACAGTGTGAGTTTAAAGAATATGATTTCTCTCTGCTTTACACCGAAAATGCTTAATTTGTAGAAAATTGGAACAAATTGTGAGAATTTTAACAATCTGTCAACAGACATACAGGCACACAGACATACACATACGCACAAGGGGATCCATTAAGACAATAATTTGGAAACAAGCGTGACATGGATATAAGAGAAAAGACTAGCCTGGAGAGATGGCAATCAAAATGTATTTTGTGTTATCATGTCTACAGTTAGACACACAGACGATGGATCAGCCAACCAATAGTATTGTTTCAAACGGCGAACTTTCTGCATATTAGCTGTAATTTTTTTAGTTTTTAGGCCCTCGGTCTTTCGTTCCCAATATACATCCATCGTGTCTTCTTCATTAATTGGTCGGATCGGAGATCAACTAGGAATTTGTTAAATGTTGGTGGCCGACTGTTGACATCCATGCATCGTTAGTTGCCATAGCAGTTTCTGAATCATAACAGTTGGCGACGAGGATGGGACTTAGGGGACTAGGCTCTTCGAAATTAGACAAACTCTTCAAGCAACAAATAAGGGTTATCGAGATTCTTACGCAATCCAAAATTTCTGGTACTAAATCATCACTCCTTTAGTTGACAGCAGAGCCAATGGCATTACGATCTTGATGCCAATGAGGCTTTTGAAAGTTGATTCAAGCGTTATGAGGACCACTTCAAAGTGGATTTTGCTGGTCGATATGATTTCTGGAAGGTATGTCTCCTACTTCGGAAGCTTCGTCCACCTGAGCACGACCAATACTGAAACGTGATTTCGCCACAGAACCTATGTGATCTCATTTTCGTCACCACAGTCCAGACACTGAATGACATTTCTGTAGAATATCAACGACTGGGCAACCTGTAGTGTGATACGAATTTAGCCCAATCCGGACGCCGGGGTAGTCCTGAAGTACATGCAATTCGCGAGACATCTCATTCCTCTGCATCACCGTCTGACCACACACACCCAAGCCTTATCTTGCCTGTTCAACTAGGAATTTATTGCATGTTGGTGGCTGACAGTCAATATCGGTGCATTGTTAGCGGCCATAACAATTTTCTAATTATGAAAAAGTATCTTACGTAACTGAGGCAAAAACATGTCTAAGAGATGATTTTCAACGGTTCCCCAACTGATGTCAGTCCATGATGAATACTATCTCTAAATTAAAAATCCACCTTCACCTCAAGAATGCATTACTGTATAGTGCTCATTAGTGACTTGCTTCCAGATGGATATCACGAGGCTCTAATGAGAAGCTGTGACCTGTGTGGTCACCCAGTAGGAAGTGAAGCAGATGCCAACTGAAGACCCTTGGTGATAGTCGGGCTATATTGTGAATTGATAGAAGTTGGAAACTGTGAACTACTGAGAACCGACCCAGTGGCTGAATGGTTAACGCGTTCACCGTGAAACCTGGAGGTCCTGACTTCTATCGCTAGCCGGGGTGTGGGCGCGTACTGCTGAGGATCCCCATACTACGACGAAACAGCTGTCCAGTGCTCCCAGATTTCCAATGGTTCCCCAACTGATGTCAGTCCATGACGAATAATATGCCTCTAAATTAGAAAATCCCCATTCATCTACAAAAGATGAATAAACCTTAAAGTTGATAGTATAATAACTGAATGGAGCTTTTTTGGGTTTCATTTTCACTTGTAGTTTTGTAACCAATCCAAAATGATTAACCCTGAAAAATCTTCTCTATCGGTGCAATTATGAAATTGAGATGGGAGTTCAGTTCACTTACAACCAAATTCATTGTCGATGAAGAAGGTGGCTAAGAAAAGATCCACATGTAAGTGGTTTTTCTTTTGTTCACCCTTTTCACTACTGATTTTCTCCCGTCTTTTTTTCTTCATCAAAATTATTATTTAAGCATAAATTCCTTATTATTTAATCAATAAATAAATAAACATGTCAAGAGTCCTTTTCTTGACTGTTAAACACAAAGAATATTTGATGTAGGTAACCAATCTTTATCATGTATAGTATAAATATACCTGAACAATCTATCCACGGCAAAATCCTATAATTTATCTGAGATATATCATCTCAATAATGGTGTAGCTCATTCAGTTAGGCATTTAATTTTTAAACGCTAAGATATGGCTACCAACAGTGCTTCATATACCGAAGTTTTGGTAGCCAAACAGTAATATATTCTCTCTCTCTCTCTCTCTCTCTATATATATATATATATATATATATATATATATATATATATATAAATATGCATATATATATAAATATATATACATACATATAATATATATATATATATATATCATCAGACATTGATAAGTACAGTATTATCATGAATTCAGTTGTAGAAAGGTATGGTCTTTGTTGAGACCAGTCAAGCAGTCATACACAGAACTCTAAAAAAGTAATGTTTTCTGCTGCAAGGTAAGCGCCTTTTGAAAAGCGAAACTTCATCATCCAAAATAACATACCAAAAAATAAGTTTTCTGCATCAAATTCAGAATTTGGAAATATGTAATCAGTGTGAATATTGAGTGGTGTCACAGTTAAACACGTTGATCTTGATTGAAGGACTATCAGACTAAGCATACATTTTCACTCATATAAATGAAGAACACAGTTTGAATAGATCACTGAAGGTGACCAAGGTAGTTATACCACCGATGTTACGAAGATTTCTATACGTATTTCATGTTGGTATTCCCCACAGACTGATATTAGCTGCAGAACTATCGGAAAATTGGTAGGACTGACTGGCTGTTTCATTCTGATGTGGAACTCCTCAGCAGCGCGCACCCATGACCCCACCAGAGATCTAACCAGGACCTTCAAGTCTCACACTGAGCACGATCCCTGGCACTATCACATGTGCACACTGCTCAGAAGCCCTATACTAGAACGAAACAGCAATAGAAGAGAAGTTATGAGGTAAGAGAATTGTTTCTATTATGCATAGGCAAAGGAACAAATAATAATTCACAATGGAAAGCTCAGTGATGCCTTTGAAGTGAAGAAAGGAGTAAGACAAGGCTGTCTACTACCATCGATCATCTTCCTGATTGTGGTCGACTGGAGTGAATCATGCAAGAAACTGTGAGGAGCAAGAAGAGGGGCATACGCTGGCTGGACTGATGAAAAAAGCCTTGAAGATTTGGATGTCGCCAATGATTTATGTCTAATGTGGAACAAAGTCGAAGATCTACGGGCGAAAACCAACAAGTTGACAGAAGAGGAAGTGAACACGGGGCTTCAAGTGAACGTAGGGAATTCAGAGGTGATGAAGATACCCAAGCACCACCAACAACAACAAGCGCCAATAACATCAGTGGGAGAAACCTAAAAGAAGTAGTCTCTATCACCTACATCTACTTAGGCAGCATCGTCTCAACTACAGGTGGCACAGATGAGGATGTTAAAGCCAGGATCGGAAAGACAGCAAGACAGACCTTCCTGCATTGATCTGAAACCAATCGGTGTGGAGATCCACTGCATCGCACTCAGCATAAAGGGTGAACAAGTGTGAACAGTCAAGTCAGTGCCTCTATGTGATGGTTGTGAGACTTGGCGCGTTACGGAAAGCATTTCCAACAAACTACAGACATTCATCACATCAACGGCTGCCGCATACACTCACTCGATACTCTCGATCGATCAGATGGCCAGAATAATAAGAATAAACAACAAGAAACTCTAACCTGACAACAAATCAACCAACCTGAAACCTATCGCCCAACAAATATGCAGAAGAAAGTGGAGATGGATTGGGGATACACTGAGAAGACCATTAGGGGCATCACGGAACTCGCATGGGAAACGACGAGTTGGGTATCCGAGGATGACATGAATGAGATCATGTGAGGAAGAAATGAAGGCTTGTGGGAAGTCGTGGAGCCAGGTTAAAAGGACTGCAGAGAAGAGAGTGGGATTGCGATGCGCGACAGAAGCCGTATGATCCGCTAGGAACCCAAGGGACAAATAATAAGTGGAAAGTACTTCACTTCACAAAACATTGTTATATTACATAACAAAAATACATAAACAGAAACAAGCAGACAAAAGGAAGTGAAGAAAATGTATTTTCCTGATAAAATAGAAGAATAAACGACTAGGTTTTTGAAATAATGATAAATGAAGTAATCAGTCAATTGAAGAACGCCAAAACATCACAAACACAATATTATCGTGATAGTCTACTTTGTAGTGACTGTAAATCTGGAAAGCGAATTTCTTTGAATTTCTGATGAAGATTCAAATCACGCATTGCTGAAACAGCACGAGCTGGTGCACCAGATAATCCGGACTAATTTCAAATAAATAGAAAAAGGTAAGGTATATGTTAACTTCATTAAACATGCGAGATACAAGGGAATACTATTTGATTGAAAACATTATTGAGGTCAAGCAAAGAAGACAAGATAGGCAATTCGATTGATGAGGTTGTGAACCTTAATCGACTGAAGTGGCTTGGATATATACCATATATGCCTAGCCACCAGCTAGAGGAAGTTGGATTAGGTTGGAAGAGGCTTCAGGGTGGCCACACCAAGAAGTGGCACCAGTTGATGAAGTCCCTGACTGTTGATCTGAGTCATGTGGCATCAATGTGTGAGTAGTGTTGAAGTCAGATGAAGGGTACTAGGCAAGATAGGCAAATCGATTGATGAGGTTATGAGTGTTAATCGACTGAGATGGCTTCCACATTTACTACGCATGCTAAGCTACCGCTTATCTCGACATGCCATGTTAAGGGAAGTTGGAGTGGGATGGAAAATGGTTCAGGGTGACCAGACCAAAACCTGGCACTAGTCGATGAAATCTTCTACTGTTGGTCTGAGTCGTGTGGGAAAATGTAGACTATCTGGCTAGGGTTACTGAGACGATGTAAATCAGTGGTTGAGAACAATTGGTGGCATGTCTGAAAATCGGTCACAATGGAGTAGATGTATTCACTCCTTCTAAAGCTTGAATGTTCACACTAACATTTGTTTTCAGATTGTTTACTCTCTCATACTACCTTATTTACTTTGATATTATTCTTTTTATATCCACTTATTCTTCGTATACTATTGTGAAGTGTAGCAACTTAAACCGTTGCACTTATGTGCGAGATTCTACTTCGATTTCGTTTGTCTGTCTGTCATTGTTATAAACCTTTAGTATCTTTAAGTCTTGAATCTCGATTTCGTGTCTGTTAACATGCTTCGATAAGCAAATCTCGGTGTTGATTTATAATTAACTGACGAAGATCCTGACTCCCATCAACCAGGTTACAGGGTAAAACCTTAGTTCCACATACTTTAACCTAGACAACCAAGTAGTAGCATAGGTCGTTGTAAATTGGACATAACTAACTCCCAACTTGACACAATAGTCTATATAAGGTAGCTGGGGTATGTTACAAATGTAGCGCATTTTTCACCGCTCACTGTAACAGGTCTGTACTGTGCCTACAACAGTTGATAATGAGAAGTTATACATTTTGCCTCAGATTCAAATCCATATCACTCACAGATACCATTAGAGGCTTCACAGCATCCGATTGGTCGCCCCTCTGGAACCAATCAGTATATTAACTGGACTGAGTACAAATTATGGATTCGCACCCAAAGGTGACATTTGCCTTCTGACTTCCACCCTATAATAACCTTTTGTGAATTATTAACCCTGATCACAATGAGAAGCAAATGTAAACTAGATCAGACTATACTCATCATTTAACTGCTTATTTAATCTACTTCATATTTCTGTCTGGAGATTTGTGGAGGTTTATTAATTGATTTTAGGCTGGAATTCATACAGATAGAATTAATCTAGCGTTCGTTAGTGACTAGCTTCAAAAGGTGATTCCCGAAGTTCCCATGACAAGTCGTAACCAGTGGAGTCAACCAAGTGGAACATGAGGACAGTTACTCAATGACGACATGTGATGTAGGTCACGCTATATCATGAACTAACAGAAGTACGAAATATGGACCACTGAATTCAAACCCAGTGGCTTAATGGTAACGTCCTGGGTTCAATCTGTGGCGGGGTGGGGTCACGGCTGCGCACTGCTGGAAAGTCCCATACAAGTGAGACGAAGTAGCTGTCCAGTACTCCCAAATTCTCAGTATTCCCCCCCCAACTGATGTCAGTTCATAATGAATTCCAACCTAAAATTTCATATTTACTTGTTTGTAAATACATTTAACTATCAGCTATAATGAATGAATGATAAACTTAAAGTGATAAGGAATCAGAGAATTTTGAATTGTCTATAAAATAATAAAATTAATGTTTGAATATTCAAGGTTTACAATTTAAAAGCTTTAGAATTTATCTTCTGTTTGAAGTAAGGGTGTTTCAACAAATTAACATAGTAATTTTTTTGTGAAGTCAACAGAGAATTTTCTAAATTCTGTATGAAATCATTGTATCCCAGTATATTCTTTGCTTAAGAGATTTTAACCATTTGAATTACTACCTTAGAAGCCCTCGACAACTGAAGAAATTACACTAGTATGATATAAACATATATCAGTGAAATGATTACTTTAATTTGATTCCAAAAAGTATTGCTACTTTAAGGAACAGTTTAGTTATATTGGCTTTCATAGAGTAGGAAGGTCAAATGAGCTTGTCAACGTACAGTCATCAATCACTAATCCTCATGAATTTTATCAACCCAGTAATAATCCAAATCAATAAATGTAAATATATGTACAGATTTTTGTATTAGGCAATGAGAAATAGCCAACATCTGATGGTTTAATACATCACTCAATCAAAAGTAAGAGAAATGGGTGCAAACTAGTGGTTGGAAATCAAATGCTTAGACCATTAAACTACAGCTCCTTACTAATAATTATTGATCCCAATTTGTTGAAGATGATACTGATCTAATGCCTGAAAGGTCATCAAACTGAATGGACCATATCTGAATGACATAAGCTAAGCAACACTTTCATCAATCCAACTATAACACTATTCTTATGGTGGATATTACATTAAGTCATACGAATTTCGAAATATGCTCTGATTTAATTTAGATACTGTTAGAAAGTCAAAATAAATGTTCCATGCACACTGTAGTTCTATGGAAGGGAAGTGAAGAGTAGTTGAAAATCAGTTAAACTGTTGCTCAATGTGTTCAATTCATACTTTTAATCATTTATCTTGTCAAAAAAACCCACTTATCTACTTCTGCTTCAGATACTTACTTTTATAATATGACTCAAATGTGAAATTATCTTGTGAATAGTGTGGAAGTCGAATGTGAAATATTACTCAAAGGAGATTAATTAATTGTTCAGGTGGTTGCAACATGTGTAACGCATACTTAGCAAGAATCTATCACGAGCTGCAATATGATTCGGCTGGAAAAAAGTTAGGAATAGTTGGTTCGAATCATTTAGCAGCAACATAAGTGAATGCATGCCTTACCTTCGCCTAAATCTTGAAAGTATAGCTACCACACTTGTCCATTCTCTTTTGTACAATTTTGTAAGACCATTGATATCATTACTTTCACTTAGCACTATCTCCTCTTGGTTGTTCCTACCTTGATGTGGTGGCAGGGAGTGTCGCAGCTGGTACCGTTACACAACTACGCTGACTGCCAAGATATTTAAGTCTGTCTACAGTTTTATCACGCATCATTTTATTTGAGTCAGTCTCCGTAACGAGTCTAAATATTCAGAGATTATTAATCATATCTGACGATTTTTCCATCTTTAGTTTTCATTATGCACCAGTGCCCCTTAATCATCGACCACACTATTAGTCGATTGGCTATTAAATTGCCTTTTCCGTTCCTTGTGATTGGCATCGATTGAAAGAAGTCGTTACACATCAGTTACTTCAAGCAAAGGTGTTGAGATACATTAGACGAGTATAACCGTAGATAGTGAAGTTGATAAATTTGTTTACAAACAGTTAAAGTACAGTTTTCCTGTTTAAAAGTAAAACTTCGTATAATAACAAGGGGGGGGGAGAAGTAAACTAGTTCGAAATACCTAGACAGATATTATCAACTTGTGACTTCATACAACTATATATCACACCAACTTACCACAGCTCACATAACCATAACCAGACCAAAGTCAACAAGCCAAAAGACAGCGAAATGAAAATGGTAGCAACAATAAAACCAGGATTAGTAAGAAGCCATAAAACAAAGAAAAAGAGGAGTTAAAAACGATGGTGATGCATTCTCTGATAACCTCAATGAAGTGTAAATGATACGAGGCACCGGGAACTAAAAACAAATAAACCTATCATACGTCAGATATTAGGATGTTGTCAATGAAAAAAAAAGAATGACCGATGAGCAATCTTGAAACCAATTGAAAACGATCACAAGGAGAGATTCATAAGCTTTCATTATGCAAAGAAAAGACTGTTAGACATTAGGAGAAACCATGCTAGCCTTCAATATCTCTCAATATATAATCTGCTTACTATCGCTTTAACTGTGTACGCAATCGTTTCCCAACCGACTTAGTATACTGACATATATCGGTGAAGAAAAAATTTTCTTCCTAGACGATATCACATTTTCGAAGGCTGTACAACCGTATATATATATATATATATATATATATATATATATATATATATATATATATATATATATATATATCACAAAGATATAATTACAGTTTAGAATTGAAGAATAGGGTATAGTGGGATCATTAGGATAGTGCTAAAAACTGAGAATAAGATTAGAAAGAAGGCGCCTAATAACCTTTTATACAGTGGAAATAATGAGAAAAGTAAGCAGTTTGTTGAGGTGATAATTGTTGATAGACGCGAAACATGAAGATTCAATGTCCACTTGATAGACACAAAGAAGGTGAAAAAAGAAGCAAGACCTATGATGAAGGAAATAATAGTAAACTAACTAATTATAACGAGATTGAAAAGATTGTGAAAGTATCAAAGCCATAGTAAGATAAGAGAGGCTAAAAATGCGTCTTCTGCACACAAAGAACAGGCTTCGATTGGTAAATTGTCAGTCCTTCTGTCGTCCACAACTGTCGAAAGTGTAATCCTTTTGAACTATTCCCTCCAACTCCGTAAATCACACTGAAGGAGGACTCTAGTGGAGCTATATGTCCAGGGTTGACTAAATGTTCAAGAATTGAACTATTAATTGATTTACATTCTCCCCTCAACAATTAACTATGCAGGATAGTGCTCACAGGTACGTTCGGAAAGTGCTCACTTTGTGCGACCCATATAACTAGCTTCACAGGAGTAAGTGAATTTGTAGACACACATTGAGGTGTGCCACAGCGACAACCTATATTTATCATACACAGGGACTAATTGTTGACTAGAGAAGCTAATCTGTAGCTTTGCATAGAAAAATGTCTTCTTCGGCAATTCGGACAACCGATTCTTTACGATGTCTGCTGCTGTAACAACCTTTGAAACAAACGCTTATAAACAAAGTCCTCTTTCGAGTTGTGAGTACATACTCCATATTCAATTTTAACTAAAGTTTTTCTCAATAAATTTGCATGAGTATCTGTTTTGTACGAGAACCATAGTTTGTTAAATTCATCATCGATATTAGCACTCATGTAGATTCTTGAATGAATCCGACTCCTTTTTCTGCTGATAGGCACCCAGCTATGGGAATTTAAGTATTGTCTATTCCATGTTGGTCTCCTATAAGTCGATTTCTGTAGGGAGCCATCTAGTCTCTGTTTCAATAAGACTCTGGCAGAATGAAATTCTGAGTTCTCTTCAAATTCTGATGTGAAGTTGACCGATGGCTGACAATCAGTAAAATTTTTTTACTACAGTTCCAATATTTGTAGTCTGATCACATCCATAGATAGTTTATATAGGTAAAAGTTATCAGTTGTTGATTGGAGCACACTATTCTCTAAGTTTGTCATAAGGTAACCAGCCATTCTTGATTTCAGTTTTTAGTACTTTCTTAATGATATAACTATACCTTATTGTTCAGTAATAGACTGTTATATGATTGTGATATATGTAAATACGATTGTACAGCCTTCGAAAATCTTCTTCGCTGAATTATCTCTTATTTTCTTTGTGACTCGGTGGGCATGTTTCCCAGTATAGTGATATACACTTATCACCATTTAAACTTACCTCTTGTTTTTCTAACTTTTGTTGTTCTTCATATCTATGTGTAATTTCATTTATATGCGTCTCTAAAACCATTCCACCAAGTACAAGTTCATTCAGTATATAATGTACCTAATAGAATCGGAAAGAAATCGATATATTAAAACACAAGTTACCTTATCCACATGAAATATCAGATCAAGTTCACAAACATTTTCAAAACACTTATCCAAAGCTTCAACGAATACTTGAATTAAATCTAACATTCCAAGTTCACTTTCTGATGAATCAACACAGAATACAAAATATAATGTTGCATAATGTCGATAAATTAATCGATAATCTTGACCACCACCTACTAGCCTGTATAAAACAAACAGATTTTTTTGTAAAAGATTGTTAGAAAACAGTAAAATTCTTACGTGACACCTTCTAGAAAATTGCAAACATCATCATCTCTTCGAGAAACAAGATTAAAAACTTCTTTGACAATTTTTTGTTGTTCATCTTCACTCTATAAAATAAAATGTCATGAATAAAAATAGTATTGAAAATTTATACGTAGTGCTCATAAAATTTTATTAGTCTTGGTTTTCCATGATTGTTAATGACAAGGATTGCACGAATCATTTACAAGACCAAGGGAATAACTAGCACTGCTTACAGTAGATTCACTGAACTGTATTATAAGCCTATTAAGAAAAAAAATAACGAGGAAAAAAATCAAATATAACTTCATATTAAAAATATTTCTTAAAAATAAGGCAATTAATGATTACTTGTTAACTTTAAAATTATCTCTAAATGCTCATAAAAGTAGGAACTTATCCAACATGTACAAGAGTAGATCGTTCTTTAACGCTATCGTTGCTCATTCACACAGTTGAATGTTGGTTAGTTTGGCACAAACAAACAATTTCCAGATAGAAGGTTAAGACTCTGGATTCCATCTCAGCCAGGTAATACTATTGCTAAGCTCCATACAAAACGTATGGTTCACAGTCCAGTACATAATACTATATACGTTTACTGAGTTGCATTATTTCGTATGATACAATCAGATAACTCATGTTCACCTTCTAATGTAATGCCTGTAAAAATGAAACTGCTGACTTAAAAGCACCATAAGGAATATATACAGTCTAAACATCAAAAGAATTGAATTTAAAAAAGTCGAGTCGTTTCTAGCAACCATATGCACATCCATGCAGTATCCAATGAGTCGCACCAATTGTACGAGGGTTGGTGATACTACCTAGCTGCCCAAATCTCGACAGGTGGAGCGACTTTTGAACCTGTGACCAATTGGTTAGAAGTCAACTACTTACACTAGTTAGCGACAGCTCAATAAAGGAATTACAAACAATATATTATTTAAGAGAAACAACTGCAGCCTTTTTACAAGTGAATGAGGTTCACAGCAAAGGAATATGCATTTTTAGACACGATCCCATCATACAAATATTATCTGAGAAGTCGGATCAGCCCTGACGCGTCAGTGGCCGATGAAATCTACCTACGGATAAAAAGGGCTCGGTTGGCTTTTGCCAACTTGCGCCATCTGTGGCGCCGCCGCAATATCCGATTGTCAGTTAAGGACTGAGTATACTGTGCTTCAATCCGCTCTGTTCTACTGTATAGCTGTGAAACGTGGCCATTGAAGGTAGAAGACATGAGAAGGCTTTAGGTGATTGACCACATCTGCCTTCGTAGCATAAGCCGTCTTTCGTGGTGTCACCACAAGTCAGGTATAGAGTTTTAGGGAGGAGAGGTAAGACAGTTGATGTGGTTGTGAACCTTCATCGACTGAGACGGCTCGAATAAGTGTTACGTATGCCTAACTACCGTCTGCCTCGTAGCACGTTGGCCGAAGTAGGTTCAGGGTGAAAAAGGCTTGAGGTGACCGGACTAAAATATGGTATCCATGCGGGAAGTCCTTGACGGCTAGGCTGAGTCATGTTGGGAGATGCAGACCAGCCAGTTGGTTGGAGACTGAATGTAGGTGACATGGCTGAGAATCGAAGTCAGTGTCACAGATGTATACACACATTATCCTCATCTTAACCGCCATACTTAATCTCATTATCTTCTCATTCTTCCTTCCTCTATTTTACTGATTTCTACTTCTAATTCCTTTGACCGATTTTTCTTTCTTTATTCATCTTCCATTTTATCGCCTTGTCACCTGGTGCGCTGATATGAGATGTGGCAACTTCGACCGTTATGCAGTAATGCCTGTTCCTATGTTGATCTTGATGATACAAATTTCAGACTAAGAATTTTTAAGACAGATCAAATAAATAACCAAGAAAATGTAACTTTATACTGGGTGATGATTGAAGGTAAGGTGAAAATCTGGAGCGCGGCCGGGTTCAAACCACTGGCCACCGGGTTACCGGCCCGACGCTCTGCTAACTGAGTTACGAGGTCCGACCGCTGACTTTGCTGAATTCAACGTGAACATGTCGATAGAAATTTTAGATTGAAGGGAAAAAACATTTATATCTGCATAAGCATGGTAATCGAGAAATACTACTATCACCTACTAAATAAATACTGATCGTTAAAGGATGTTGATAAATTAAGAAGTCGAGCTGTTGGTCATTGGTCTAAACCGTTAACTTTTAACCAGTGGGTGGTCAAGAGTTCAAACGCTACTCCACTTACAGAGGATCGAGCAGTCACGTAGTACTAATAGCCTCTCAACACTAGGCATGGTTCATTGCCTACCGCATAATGCACTATGCCACTTAATGCGTTTCGATTCGATCAAAATAAACTAAGTAGGGTAGCATGGTTCATAATACAGGCTTGACATTCATCCAGACCACAGTCACTATCATTCAGTGATGGCCCAGTTAACCTGTCGTAATAATCTTTTTATGAAGTATCAGTTAAAGTGCTCCTTCCCTAAGCTGCTATCCATACCACGAAGGTCACCAGGAGCACGATAAGAAAAGTCACAATCAGAATACTTTCAGAAAATGTTTTGAAGGTAAAGTCATACTGGTATTTGTCAGGAGTGAGACAGGAGTAAAGTGTTTCCTACAGACAGTCACGATTCGAAGCTCACACTGATAGGATTTGATCGGTATAGATAGAAAAAGATTAGTCCTAAAAACGGAATACTATCTAGATATCTTATTGATCTTCAGTGTCAGTAATATGAGCCCTCTCCTCAAGCACCGACACAATACAATTAAATCTAGATCAGTAATTTTTGGACAGGGTAAGTGTGATCGACCTCAAGTAGCTGTCGGTTCAATTCCGTGGCCTCACAAACAAGTCTGTAATACCATTACTACTCATTCAAATACTTTCTCATGTATCTCAAAAAGTTAACCTCCCCGGTGTGGGAAACCAAGAGGTTTCAACCGCTTTAACAACTCTCTCAGAACTCAAGTTCGTTTTGATCACCATCAGTCTTCGACAACATAGTCTTTTAATCCTTCTTTACATCTCTCTGTTGATAAGCCTACATCATCTTTATTTTTTCCACCTCTGAACCCCTTGATAACAATTCGAGCTCACCAAATAGCACGTCTCGTCTCCTGAAACCACGCTCTAAACTACACATTAGAAATTGAATATTCACACTCTTCGTCAAATCAGATAAGTCTTATCAGCCGAGACTTGTATTTTCAGCCGTGGACGCATAAAATGCTTGTACGACATGTATACGAGACTGAATTGTAGTTATTCACTTAACCTAACCCAGTCAACTTGCGAATTTCGTTCTTCGAGTTTCCGGAAACTCGATAGCTAGTTCTTACGGTCTCATATGTATCGACTAGGCTCTAAGATACGAATCATGACCAATAGCTGGTACCTTGACATAGTGATCGGGTCTTCATATCACTTGTTTTAAGAACATACCATACCAGAAAGTTTTGTAGTGTGTGGGAGTTAGATATGAACCCCTCTGATTAATCTCAATCACTGACTGTCCCAGTCTTCAAGGAACAGAAGAAATCCTCCTTTGATAACCACAGGAGAATCAGCCTGACGAACGTACTAAGATTATAGGTTCTATGATTATGAGACGTCTGAGTGGGGCTTGAGGACAACAAGCCAGAGAAAACCATCATCAATCATCAATGTCAACATGGGACTAGGCATTACTGCGTAACGGTCTGAGTTGCCACACCTCATATCACCAAATCAAGTAAAAAGGCAGTGAACTCCAAGATGAAGATGAGAAAATTCAGTCAAAAGAAATATAAAGTACGAAAAGAGAGAAAGGAAGAATGAGGAAATGGTGAGATTCGGCATAGCATCGTTTAGATAAGGATAATGTGTGTACACATCTGCCCCACTGACATCGGTTCTCACCCATATCACCTAGAGTCTCCCTCCAACCACTGATTCCTCTTGTCCCGCCAACCCCAACCACCCAGTCTGCATCGCCCCACATGGCTTAAACCAACAGTCAACGACTTCATACATCGGTGTCATGTTTTAGTCTGGCCACCTCGGGCCCTTTCCCAGTCTGGACCCACTTCCGCCAACATTGTGTGACAAGGCAATCGGTGACTAGGCATACGTAACACGTGTCCCAACAATCTCAGTCGATAAAGGTTCACAATCTCGTCAACTGACTCACCTCTTCTCCCTAAAACTCTACTCCTGACATCTGCGTTACTCACGTGGTGACACCACGGAATACAGACTATAATACGAATGCAACGGTGATCAAATACCTGAAGCCAGTCTTCTCATGTCTCCCACCTTCAATGGCCATTTCACACCCATACAGTAGAACAAACTGGACTGCTGTGCAGTACACGCGAACCTTTATAGACAATCGGATATCACGGCGGCACCATAGGTGGCGTAAATTCGAGAAGGCCAGTCGGGTCTTTTGTATCCGTGCAGAGATCTCATCCACCACTGAGCCACCACGGCTGATCCTACTTCCCAAATAAGTCAAGTGGCCAACACAATTACTATGCTCTCTATTGTTAGCCGAGGCACCGCTGAAGACCAATCCTGGAGCAACAATTTGCATTTGGGTGGTGAGAAACGCATCACAAACATTCTCAAATTCCCACTCAAAGTATCCAGAACACTCTGCATCTTGTCAGCGTCTCCACCTAACAGGACCATGTCACCTGCATATTCTGGGTCTAATGGAAATTCTCCTGCGATTAGGTCAACCTCTGCGTAATCAGGTGATGAGAGGGAGACCTCCATTAGAATATCTATGATAAAATTGAATAGGAATGGAGAGAGTGGGCACCCTTGACGGATGCCACTCGATTAGTACGGCTCACCTGACATCTCACCATAGGCTCTAAAACGCCCATAAGTGTTCGAGTAGAGAGGCTTCAATAAAGTGATGTACTTACTCGGCACACCTTTCAGTGAGAGACATTGTCATAAGTCCTCTCGATCAACCAAGTCGAATGCCGCTTTCAGGTCGAGAAATACAGCTAGTGTTGGGAGTCGACAAGCGTGTCTGTGTTCCAAAACCCAGTGCAGTATGAATATTTGGTCGATACACCCACGGCCCGGTCTAAAGCCTACCTGGTTTTCTCGGGCTTGCTGTTCCCGAGCTCCACTCAGGCGTCAGAAAATTATAGAACCTAGGATCTTAGACACTATGTTCGTCAGACTGATTCCTCTGTGGTTATCACAAGACGACTTCTAGGCCTTTCTTGAAGACTGGGATGATCAGTGACTTAGACCAGTC